TCCAAAAATCCCAATTTTTCAGTAGCCCCGCGTTTGAATTTTTTGTCCGTTTTTCAAGATTTAGTGATATTTAGATAACTCCCACAAGATACATGTGGGAGTACTCAACTGCACTTAATTTACTTATCTTAAAGGGAATAAATCACCTTTAGACATACGTTCTAACCAAAGCAAAGCAACAATCCAGAAAAACCGCCTGCTAGTTCCGTTCACCATCCACAAGCACCGACTCCCAGCCATGAAATGTCGGTTAATGTTCCTCACCGCGACAGAAAGTAAAAATTTTTGATTTAGATAGACGCCGATGGGCACCTTTACCCCTCTGACCCTACTCCTCTCATTCCAAGCTCGCCGATGGTGCATTGTTCGAAACACAAGAACGTCGTCCTTTGTGCGCTCGCCTTCTTGATACTTAGATAGCTTTGGCACAGCCGGTAAGTCCGATGCGCCTTCTAGTCACGATGATTGCTGATAACAGTCCTGTAGAAGCAAAGTCGCCACCCCGCCGCCCCTCCACCCAAACGGCACTCCATCTAGATCGGCCGGTCACGAAGTGCACGCCATGCGTGATCACATCCACAACAAATATACGCGGTGATGGTCTTCGTGGCAAAATTCCACGCTCTGGGAGCACGTTCGGGGATAATTTAGGGCCGGCGATGGTGTTTTGTCTGCTGGAGGGGCCGCATGACCGCCAATTAGGGCCCGATGTCGTGGACAGGGCAAACTCGGTAATTGCCGAACGGAACCACTAGATTCGAATACGTGGTATATAATGTAAAGTAGAGAATTGGACCCAAAACTGACTCTTGAGGTACGCCCAAATGGTGTTTCAAAGTTGACGTGTGTGTGTCGATTCCAATTAGAGATTTGCGAAAAAATAAAATATTGGCCTGCAAGCGGGGCCTTGTGCTGCGTCCCAAAACGCGTTGGCCAAAGCGTTAAATTAACCGATATCCGATATTTGCATACCGCTAATGCCATATGATGGAAGGCCTTGTCGATTTAAGAAAATTTACGGCTCCTCCTAAATTCCTCGACAATTTATTAAAACGAATTTACAGCCACGGACGAAAAATCCAACATCGAAATGCGGCCCTATCAAGGCTGTAAATCTCGTTCCGCCGGAGAATATTTCAACGGCCGCATTCACAGCAGCATTTTTGGTTAAAAGCGGCTCCACACACGAATTTTCGGTGACGACGCGTCGAGAAAAAAATAACGCGTATGGCAGGTGACCGGAGTAATTTGTTTAAGTAACCTTGTTGGAGCCTACTTCGCTCCTTGCGAAAAACATTTTCTACAAATGTTCAAGGACGACCTAGAGTCAATCCCACTTGTGGTTGTGGAGGAATTAATTACGGTGGGTTTCCGTTAAGTCGTCGAGAGGTATTTTCGGCGAGGAATTTTTTTGAGATTTGAGCCTGTTTCGCGCTGCTGGAGCCCCGTGGAGGTTCTCCGGGCGAGCTAATTACAGATTTATTAACTAGTTTTGTCGGTATTGACACCGCGTGCATGCCTATGGCGAGGAGATGTTTCAGAGATGTTATCTCGCTGTTCTCGGGGAGATAAAAATTTGTTGTTGATTTTATGTGTAATATTTATTTCAGCGGAGGAAATTGATACGGGTTGTGATAAAATATGACGAATTTTTAGGAAAAGGACAAAAAACGTTGTGGCAGGATGTATTTATTTATTTGTGTAGTTTACAGTAATGTTAGATTTTGATGTAATCCTAGGGAAATACATTTGCGTTATTTGCCATTTCAAAATTATTTGGCTCAGTTTGGTCACAATAACGCTTAAAACGCATGCGGAAACAAAATAGCAAAATATCATGACATCTTGCTTTTGTTTTAATACACATAAATATTTACTGCTCTTGCAACATATTTTTTTGTAGAAAAATGCGAGTTTTAAATATTGAACTGAAATTTTAGGAGTACGTTCCTGATGCAAGATTCTATCTGCTAGTGGTACAGTATCATTTAGGCTCTGTTTTACTATTTTTGAGTTCTTATATATATAAAAAAAAACCTACTCTATATGTAGTGTTTTTGTGTTTCATACACAAAAGAGGTTCTGTGTAAATAATTACAGAGGTGTTTTATTTTCCGAGCGTAGCCAACCTAAATTCAATTTTTCATAGCTCCTAGGATTTGAAAAAGTAGGACTCCCATTTTTATAGAAGTAATTTTTTAAACTATGGGACAGATTATTGTGAAAGTGTAGATATAAGTATTTTAAGAATATCGTGCAGATTGTAAAACGATAACCGAAATATGTGTTAATCCCACAAAATTGTGATGACGTTATCTCAGAATTTTCCTTATAAATCGTATCTAAAATGTAAAAAATACTGTGTTTTCATAGCTGAAGTTTATAAAATTCAAAATAGTACAACAAAATTTACATTTTATTTTAAGAACTACGAACGTCATTATGTATCTTGAAATCTTAACGTTACCGTGAAAATGGAGTTATACCCGGTGTTTGGAAAATGGCGCATTAATTTTTCAGTACGTTATGTTTTTGGGAGTCCAAAAAAATTATACAAAAATTCTTTACGATGTAGATTACAAAAACAAAGTAATTTTATAAAAGTAAGCTCGTAATATTTCCAAATTTTGATAATTTTTTGTAAAAGTTGGTAATCGCCACTTGCTAGGGTAAAACTAATTTTGGCAAATGACATACTCTCTAAGAAAAGAGAGGGTGGGTGGGTGGGGCTAGTAATTGTCAAGATAATACTGATTTTGGCAAATGCCATATCCTCTAAGAAACGAGAGGGTGGGTGGGCGGGGCTAGTAACTGTCAAGATAATACTGATTTTGGCAAATGCTATATCCTCTAAGAAACGAGAAGCTGGGTGGGCGGGGCTAGTTGCTGCTAAGATAAGACTGATTTTGGCTAATGAAATACCTTCGAACAGAGGGTCGGTGGGCGGATTTAGTAGCTGCCAAGATAAGACTGATTTTGGTAAATGTCATACCCTCTAAGGAAAGGGAGGGTGGGTGGGTGGGGCCAGTGGCTGCCAAGATAAGACTGATTTTAGAAAATGAAATACCCTCTAAGAGAGGGTGGGTGGGCGGGGCTAGTATTCTGTCAAGATAATACTGATTTTGGCAAATACCATATCCTCCAAGAAAAGAGAGTGTGGGTGGGCGGTGTTAGTAGCTACTACGATAATACTGATAAGGGATCTCATTTGCCAAAATCCGTCTTATCTTCGAAGGTACTAGAGCTCCCACCCACCCTCTGTTTTCTTAGGGGGTATTTCAGTTGCCAAAATCTTTATCTTAGCAGCCACTGGCCCTGCCCACCCACCCTCTCTTTTCTTGTAGGATATTTCATTTGCCAAAATCAGTTTTAGCTTAGCACCTACTAGTTAGGATAAGACTGATTTCGGTGGGTGAGTTATTTAATTTTAGATCTTCGAAATTTTCATTTTTAAGTGTCAGCGACATAATAAAGACAACTTATCAATCATATTATAGTTTTCAATTTTTATTCAATCTGTTAAAAATGAGACTACCGAAAAGATTGCTTATATATATTAATTTCTTGTAAAAATTGAAAAATAAATATACAGGATGATCAAAAATCAGGATAAACTCGATGGTACGTTGTTGGGAAAATTTCTGGACCAAAGTTTTAAAAGTATTAAATTTCAACATAACTTCGTAATTCTAATCTGTTTGAGTGTACTGCCAAATAAATATTTAGTTATTAGTAAATTAATAATTTGCAGCTTATCCGTCATTTTTTGATCACTCTGTATAATTTCCTGGAAAGCAACACATAACGTCACAACCCAAAGCTAGTGGTATCAAAAACAAAAGAACTATATTTTTATAATCTTACACATTTCATGAAAAAAATACAAACTGGATCTGATCTCACTAGTCCAGACCAGACTTGACTTGACTTGACTTGATCTGACTAGACCTAACCTGACCTGACCCGATCTGATAACTTTTTACATAAAAAAGTATTGATAAAAAAATTATTTAATAATGATAATAATAATAATTTTAAGTATTTAATTTCAAGACTTTAATGAATACGTACTATCAGACAGTCAAAAGAATTTTGTCTTTCGCTGCCAGAGAGTTGGAACACCCTGTATAAATTATTTTATACCGAAAACAACCCAACAATTTAATAATCAAATTTATGAGATGAATTACGATCTTAATTATATGTTAAAAGTTTTTGCGGGCTTTTGTGAATTACAAAATCAACCATAAAGAATATAGGAAATGTGTTACAACAAATTAAATGAGACATTGCATAATATTTTAGAAATATCTTGCAATGAAAAATAAACTGATTGTCTCAGCAAAAAATAAGCAAATTGCTTACTAGAAATATTACACGATCTGCAGAAAAATAGGTATTACAAAACAGCAGATTTAATTTGTTGTTGAAACAAGTATTATAATAAATACGTTCGAAAGTAACACTTGCTAGTAATGATAACAAACAAACAAGTCATTTAATAATAATAGGCACAATAAATATTACACAAGTCTTAATTTTTCTTTGTTCATTATTTGTCTTCTCGGAAATAGAGTATACATGCAAAGTGCATGAAATTTAGAGAGTTACGCATTTTAGAGCGATTGTATTTTTTCGGCATTAACTCGAAAATATGAAAAAAATGCCGATGTTTCTAGTGTTTTTAAATCAGTCTTATTTTTTTTATTATTATTTAATTTAATGACCCTGTATATATATTTTTTTCTTTAAATTGGAGCAGTAACTCTTGAGATGAAACAACAAACCATCTATTATAACAAATACTAAGTAGTAGTACTTTTTTTTGTTACCGTCCATGTTTTGTAATTTGTATGTCGTAAACTCTTCACACCAAATAGTATATACTCAGAAAGACTTAATAAATTTTATTGTCACGAATTCCGGTCTATTACATTTATGTTTTCGGAAATGGCAAGACGCTCCACCGCCTAAAAAACAATAACAAAAACAAAACTCACCGTCACAACAATCCACAGCTTCCTAGATCCGCTCCTCCTTTGATGTCCCGCGCTTCTCTCCATCGCCGCTTCTCAGAATCTCCAATATTCAAGCTATAAAACGTCTCCAAAACGCAACATAAAGAAATAAAACATCCAGCATTGTCTAGCTGATAATAAAGAAAGGAATGCCACACGTGCACCGGCACCAATTAAAAACATAACCTAACGTAAAAAGGGCTCCGTTTGTCATATGATCCCTCGTTGAAAGGTATTTTTATGAATTTTTTTAATGAACGTCACATCCATCGCACCTCGTCTTAAGTCAAAACGTTTTACGGTGTCCCAACGCAGTCCATCATCCGAGGACGTCTTGATTGTAGTGATAAAAACGCGGTCAGCTTACCTGGAACAAAAACAAGCATGTTAACAGCATTACACAACGACTCACAAATTTCTGTGTCTCGAGCCACCACTATCATAAAAAATCGAGTTTGTGGTGGTAATGGAATATGGGTTTTATGGGTGTATGTACAGATCGTTGGTTCGCAATACGGCTGGAACAATGGAGAAGGAATGCGATTTGGTGGATTTATGGCGGTGGTTAGAGTATGAAAAGTGGACGTGAAAAGGTGCAGAATTTTAAGACAAAGAAAGAACAATGTGGCCGTTCTGGTCATCTGGCTGCAAAAATTGTAATTGTTACCGAGAGAAAAAAAGGAGGCATGGGATTGTTGTCTTAAACACCAGGCGCGATTGTGACCAGGTGTGTGGTATTGTCTACGATATTGATTTCATGTTATTTTGACTTTTATTTGACTCAAATGTCGACGCGTTTTGTCAACTATGTTGTTACGTGTTGAAGAGAAAATGGCCTACATTTGGAAAATTGCCTGTTGAACTGAAAAACGTCTTCTTTCATATACAAATAAAAAAAAAGTTGTTATTATTTTTCAAAAATACATTCTTTTCAAATTACCAAACCAAAGCTGGAAACGAAGACAAAGACAACGCAAGCTAAAACTTGTTTAACATTTTTAAAATTTAAAAAACTTCTTTATAATGCAGAATGAAATTCCGAACGCCCCTCAAAAATGAATATTTACAATACTGAACCAAAGACTGATAAGAATTGAGTTTCTGGCACATTATGGCCTGCCTTCGCGTCTTTACGACAAACCCAATCTTTTATTCATCAGCGTTTCTTCAAATTTATCGATGTCGTGCATTTGTCATTGTTATACCTCTCCATTTTAATGTTTTCATTTGAAAAATCTCTTCGTGTTTTTCTTGGATGTTAAGCTGGTCTCCAACAAGTTTTTGGACAGAAATAACCGCGTTAACCTGTGACCTCTACACTTAGGATGTTGATTCATTAGCACTCATGCACCTGATTTTCCTAAAACTTATATATTGCTTGCGGTTTTGTCAAAGAAAATTACGAAAAATATTTCTTACTCTTAAAACGTACACTTGTGTTTATAATATATGGTTTCCGAAGCAACACTTGGTGTCGAGGATGAAAAAACTTTCATTAATCACAAATGCTAATGAAATTACGTGATTTAAATAGTAAACGGTTTGAATTTTCGTCCGACTCGTGTTGCAGTGCAACTAAGTTGTTAGTGAACAAATTTGTTTTGTTCACTCGTGCCATAAATAACCATTATACTGGATTGTCATCGAATTTGATTTGTGTGTCTCGTCAACTGTAAATTTCACCTACTTCTCCACAAAACCTGAATCCAAACAAACACCTTCGAATTCACACCTCCGCTAAAAATAGCAGAAAACTACTCAAAACATCGCAAATTAACCTGAAAAACAACCCGACCCGTGCCCAGACCACAAACGTCAAGCTCCAGCGCCCACAGTAAATCACCCGAAGCCCATTCTTCTAAAAATGACCACATATGGTAACGCCTCTAATTAGTAATCACGTAGGCGTCCCGATCATTCCCTGACTTAAGTCACCTGAATTAGCCAATCGCCGCCTTGTATGGGCAATGCCCTAGCAGAAAGCAACTCATCTTTGCTTCTCTTACGTTTTATTATTTTATGCGTTCGCACAAGGCACGACTGCAGCGTTGCACATTATGTAAGTGTTAAAATTTCCAAGAATAACAACACCTCGTACGTATGTTATTACGAAATCGCCTCTTGGAAGGTATTTTTCTTCTTCTCCTTGTTACCGGCGAGTAATTAAATAACAGGATTCTTCAACGTTCTCTTCGCATAGCACGAAGATGATTCACGGCTTTGGAAGATGGACGAAGCCTTAAGGTCTTGGCAAGATCACGGAATATCGAAATGTGTACTCGTTGGAGATTGAAGGGCAAGTGTGAAGTGATTCATCCGGTAATTACTTCATGCAGAAGTGAAAGGATAACCTGTGTTCACCCACAATGTTGCCATAATCTCAGTGGTTTACTGTTGCTGAGTAGAAAAATGACGCTCGAAGAAGAGAGAAAATTGAAGATGCTACAGAAAACTAAAGCTAAATTTTAAACTACATTTTTAGTAACCCGTAGATAAGATTGAATTATTATTTTCACAAACAACACAAACCAGGAATTTTCCTGTTTCTACAGTTCTAAGCACAACAAATTCTTCCCATTTTCCAAGAATCAACAATAGCCGATATTTGTCGTAGAAGAACTTTTTATTTACACGATCGATAAGTTATCACGGAATTTTTCCCACCGCCGATCACATAATGACGTCTTTCACTGGTGAGAAAATGATACACACCTGACTCAATATCTTAAAATTACAAGTAATTATTGCCAACCGCAATTAGTTTCCTAAATAACAGTACTTAAGACGTGCCCCGGCGAAGTTTCACCTTTCAGCGAGAATCTTCCAAGACCACTTCGAGCTCTTCCATTGTTTACATTCGCTCAATTGCGTTTTAGTGTGAAAAGTCTAACGTTTGTTATTTTTATCACACTTTTCGAAGGTTGGCCCTAAATCAATACCGATAAGAGATGTAAATAAAATCGAAGAATTTTTTTTATCTCAGCAGATGTTGGTTGTAAATGCAGACAGTCAATATTTGATCGGAACTTTTTTCAAATTCGGAAGAACGCAGATATTGTGGTGTTGGATGATAAAACAAATACTGAATCGGAACTTGCAATCTCCGGGACAAGTTTTAATAAATTCAATCAAGATAGAGGATTAATTGTTTAGGTTTTATATCAATTAATCGTTCCAGATTGAGATCTAAGATATTAGAGTGGAACAAGTAAACAGGGATGTTGTTGATAATTTTTTTGAAGCAATAAACTAACTAGACAGTGTGACACCACTGACAAAATAAAAAATAATCTATTAACACACTTTAAAAAACACACGTTTTTCTAAATATTTGTACAAAATAACTTCAAACAACTACGATATTACAGTAGAACCAGACAAACTGCAATACCTACAAGCTACAAGCCAAAAAATTGTTGGAAATTACTTTTAATTACATTTTGATGTGATAATTCAAGTTTTCAAAATTCTAGAAAAAATCAAAAACTTATTTCTCTTTGTAAAAATGTTCCACAATATCCAGAAAATAACAAGCTGTTTGGGGTTTGAAAACGGATTATTTGTCACATGAGAAAATATTATGGCGCCACCCTGTATACTTATACATGTTATCAATTTACAGAAAACAATATCTAATGACATTTTAGAGTTATGCTAGTTGAACTTTATTTGATATTTAACGCAAAACTAAGAAGGCACGAAAGAATGTTAATGTTCACCCATTTTATTAAAGAATGGTAACTATATTTAGAAAGTAATGTCCGATTTTAGAAAAAAAATATTTTAAACACGATATCAAGGATTGGTAATATTATTTAAATTATTCTTTTTTTTATGATTTCTGAACTTAAGTTCGATTTGTCACACGAACGCTTTATACTTTTTAAATCGTCGCTTGGTTGGCACGAGACTTAAATACATAGTATGATATTCGAATATTACCTTTGTAGGTGGAAGATGCCAAAGTTTTCACGAATTTTTAAAATATGTGGTTATTTGCATCCAACTTTCCTCACCTCCGAAGCACAACTAACGCACTGGTACTGACTTCAGCAGCGAGGGGTTCGACGTAAATAAATTTGGACTTTTTTCCAATTTTAGGCGAATGACGTCATCACTTTTTCTTGTTGAGGTCTCCAGTGGCGTTTCGAAAATTTTAATAAAAAAAAACTGGTTTTAGCTTAATATGTAGTTTATTAAACAAACATATTATGTTTTAGGAGGTAGGTAGGGTGCGGCATTGAAGACAAGTATATATATTTTAATTTTGATACGGACAATGTGACACTAATTTCCACCCGTAACTGTGTTTCCAGATATTCAGGGAAATTAAATGAGCTATTTAAGAGCCAGTAGATAAAACAAACTAATTCATACTACAAACTTTTTTAACAAAATTTAGAAATGATTTTACCATTTTTTTGGAATTGATAAGTTATAGAATACAGTTCTGGAATTAATTATTATCGATACATGGATCACAAAAAGCGAATTTTGAAGGGTATATTGAAATTTCAGTTAAAATTAGAAATGTCTAAAATCTATTTTTAAATTCCATAATTCCGAATGTGAACTACTTTCATTCCTGAATTTCCGGGAAATTAGACGAGTTGTTTCTGAGATTTGATAAAATAAATCAATATGTTTTTAAACATCCGCTGAAAGTATGCCAAGTGTATTAGTCTAAAGTTTGTCTAGAATTATAAGATTTTTATGGACTCCCAAAGTTAATTTGTACAGCTGAAGAGCGTTTCGCCACGCTCTTCAGCTGTACAAATTAACTTTGGGAGTCCATAAAAATCTTTCAGGTACAGAAAACATTGGCTTTCTCCTGACAGGCTCTTTACCTGTACAATAGAATTGATGACAGGGTTGTAAAACGCATTAACGTTGGGAGTCCATAAAATTCTTATAATTCTGGACAAACTTTAACATTTCTTCCAACAACGATTCATTTAATCATTGTTTAAAGAAATCAATCTTAGCCAACGTATTGCAATCTCTGAATTACTATTAGTGCTTTGCTGAAAATATGAAGAACGTGTACAGGGTGAATAAAAAATGACGGATAAGCGTGATACTACATTGTTAAAAATGGTTAAAAAAATCCCTGAACCAAATTTTTTAAAATATTAAATTTCATAGTTGGCTAAGAGAGTTAATTCTACAAATTTGAAGTTTAATATTTTGAAAAGTTTGGTGTAAAAATTTTTTTAGCCATTTTTCTCGAGTTCTTCAGAGCCTTCTTAACAACGTACCATCGAGTTTATCAGTCGTTTTTTGATCACCCTGTATATCTGAACTTATTTTTTTAAGACAAACCAACTACACCAAGCAAAAAATTGAAACGAATTGTTAAAACAACAA